GGGACAGTACTGAATGGTGCTGATACACATACTCAGATAAATATCTAAAATGTGTGTGTGTGTGTGTGTGTGTGTGTGTGTGTGTAGGGATGTATATGACATAGTGGTAGCATATCTTATGTAGGGGTTTGTCTCTAAAAGCAGCATGACCATGTGACATCAAAATAGCTCTTTTCCAGCAATAGTAACAAAACCAGCATGGTATTGGCACCAAAATAGACTGGTAGGCCAATGGTACAGAATAGAGGACACAGAGACTAACCCAAATAATTACAGTTGTCTTATATTAGACAAAGGTGCCAAAAACATACATTGGAGGAAAGATAGCCTCTTCAACAAATGGTTCTGGGAAAACTGGAAATCCATATGTAACAAAATGAAATTARACCTTATCTCTCACCATGCACAAAACTCAAAAGTAGATCCAAGGACTTAGGAATAACCCAGAGACACTGCGCCTATTAGAAGAAAAAGTAGGCCCAAATCTCTATCATGTTGGATTAGGCCCCAGTTTCCTTAATAAGACTCCTATAGCACAAGAATTAAAACCAAGAATCGATAAATGGGATGGATTCAAACCAAAAAGCTTATTCTCAGCAAAGGAAACAATCATMKAGGTGAATAAGAGAGCCTGCATCTTGGGAGCAAATTTTTACCACTCGCACATCAGATAGAACACTAATTTCTAGGGTATATAAAGAACTCAAAAAGCTAAACCCCTCAAAAAACAAATAGCCCAATCAATAAATGAGCCAAGGAACTCARCAGACACCTCTCAGAAGATTATATACAATCAATCCAAAAATATATGAAAAAGTGTTCATCATCACTAGCAATTAGAGAAATRAAATCAAAACTACTCTAAGTTTCATCTCACTCCTGTCAGAATGGCAGCTATTAAGAATACAAACAACAATCAGTGTTGGGAAAGATGTGGGGAAAAAGGCACACTCATACATTGCTGGTGGGACTGCAAATTGGTTCAGCCAATATGGAAAGCAGTATGGCGATTCCTTGGAAAACTGGGCATGGAACCACCATTTGACCTAGCTATCCTGCTCCTCGGTCTATACCGAAAGGACTTAAAAAACAGCATACTTTAGGGACACAGCCACATCAGCAGCACAATTCACAGTTGCTAAACTGTGGAGCCAACCTAGATATGCCCCTCAGTAGATGAATGGGTACAAAAAAAGTGGCATGTAAACACAATGGAATATTAGTCAGCAATAAAAGAATAAAATCATGGCATTTGCAGGTAAATGGATGGGGTTGGAGAAGATAATGCTAAGTGAATTAGCCAATCCCAAGAAACCAAATGCTGAATATTCTCTCTGATATAAGGAGGCTGATTTATAGTGAGGTTGTGAGGGGCAGCATGGGAGGAATTAGATGAACTCTAGATAGGGCAAAGGGTGTCAGGGGAAAGGAGGGCATATGGGGGTAAAAAAGATGGTGGAATGAGATAGATTTCATTATCCTAAGTACATGTATAGGGCTGGGGAGATAGCTCCTTTGGTAGAGTGCTTGCCTTACGTGCACAAGGCCCTGGGTTTGATCCCCAGCACCAAAACAAACAAACCCCCCGAAAACTAAGTACATGTATGAAGATATGAATGCTGTGAATATACYTTATATACAACCAGAGATATGAAAAACTGCTCTATATGTGTAATRTGAATTGTAAGTCATTCTGCTGTATATATAACAATACAAAAAAACAAAACAAAACAGGCAGTCAACTTGCTTAGACTTTTGTTAGAGGCTTTGTCTCATTCTTTGGAAGTGGCAATTTCAATCTCAGTTCATTTAATTTCCTTAAGACTCTGAGTTTGTTGTATGTAGGTGTCCTTTGAGGCTACCCTGAGACTTGTATAGGATTCATACACACAAGTAGAGGATTCAGTTTGTGGTTCTCTTTCCTCCAAAAGTTCCTCCCACCTCCATCTCCAGGTATGACTTGTTATGCTCCTTTCTCTGGTTCTGTTTCTACTGTACTATTTTACRACTGTGGCTCACTCTCAGGGCAAGTGCCCCTCTGCCAAACGTGCATACAAAGGGGCACTCAGCCATGTGCTAATGGATTCTACTTATATGGACTCCTTTTTTTATTTTGAAAAATCCTGGCCACATTTTATTTTTTGGAATTGTGGGTTATACTATTTTCATTTTTATTTCTGAGCACATGAATTTATCAATTCCCATACTTGTTAAACACAAGTATGTTGATGTTATTCTTCTGAATGCATTGTAYACATTTTGGTTCATTGTCTTGATTACTAATGTTGAAGACTTTCTTTTTTTGGTATGTTTCTACTCACTTATGGTTCTGTTTTGTGACTTGCCCATTTTTCTTTTGTTTGTTGACTTTTCCTCATAATTTGTTGTCATTTGCCTTATGTATGTTGAAAAATATTTTATTCCAGTCTTTTGTCATATAAAAGTCTTAATTTTTTATTTTTTTGAGCAGTACTAGGGATTGAACCCAGACAGTTGATCATTGAGCTATATCTCCAGCCCTTTTTAGTTATTTATTTTAAAAATTTGAGASAGGGTCTCAACAAGTTGTCTAGGATGGCCTTGAACTTGTGATCCCTGTTCCTTAGTCTCCTATGTAACTGGGATTACAAGAATGTGCCATGAATTTTGATGTCTTATCTATAAATCATGGCTTTATTCAGATTAAGTACTTTTGTTTCTCTGCCTGCATTGCTTGATTAAAAAAAAAATCAGGAATGTTGAATTTTTGTGAAGCACCTTTTTCTGTCTGTCTAAAGGAGTGACCATAATAATTTCCTTGTGTAATGAATGAAGATTAATGAATTTCTAAATACTGAACTTTCCTTTAATTCTTTGGATAAAATCAAAATCAATTTGACCACCAGGCGTGGTGGCGCATACCTGATGGCTCAGGAGGCTGAGGTGGGAGGATGGCAAGTTCAAATTTTATAAAATGCTTCTATTTCTCTGGATGAACCGGTTTACTTTATTTTGTTATGTTTTTTGTTTGATAATTTCAAATTTACAGAAAATTTTGAAAATTTTCAACCAATTTAGAATAATTGGTTAAGAAACTCTTTATATAAGTGGGGGGGGCATGGGCAGAATATGAACTCTAAATAGGGCAGAGGGGTGGGAGGGGAAGGGAGGGGGCATGGGGTTAGAAATGATGGTGGAATGTGATGATCATCATTATCCAAAGTACATGTATGAAGACACAAATTGGTGTGAATATACTTTGTATAAAACCAGAGATATGAAAAATTGTGCTCTATATGTATAATATGAATTATAATGCATTCAGTTGTCATATATAAATTAAAAATATAAAATAAAAAAGCAGACTTTCCACCACGGAATACTGTCTTTATGATGAACGTAAAGAGAGAAAAGGCTGAAATCCACCCCTACCCCCAGCCCCTCAGTGGACATTGCATGAATCCACAACATGATGGCCACAACGCTCCTCTCGCTTCCTTAAAGGAGGATACGATGGTATCAGGAACCTGTGTGGTGTCTGAGGAGGGGAATTAAAAAAAAAAAAAAAAGAAACTCCTATGTACACTTTAGTCAGATTAATCTACTGCTTACTTTTGGTGCTGGGGATCCAAGTAGGGCCTCACACGAGTCAGGCAAGTCTTCTGTTGCTGAGTTCCATTGCTTCAGACCCTAGTTTTTTTCTCTTAAGATATTTAATCTGGAACATGTCATTGGTCTTTTTATTGTTTTTCTTGACATTTTAATTGTATAGGTCAGTTTTTGTTTTTTGTTAGTTTTTTTCTTTCTTTGTTTTTTTTTCTTTTTAATTCAGAATATCCTCAACTTCGGTTTATTTGGTTAGATAAATTCATTACTTATTTTTGCTAGTAAAATGAAATACCACAGAAGTGATGGTATGTTCTCAGTGCATCATATCTGGAGTCACCTGATGTTGTTTACATTGATGGCTKCAAGGCTTCTCCACTCTAAATTTATTACTTCCTTCAGTAATTAGTAAGTATTTTGTTAGGATTTATTTTGAGATGGTGTTAATATTTGCTCTTCATAAACTGTTCACCTTTGTTTCTTGCTTGTCATGTTGAAAGCTTAGTTTGTTTACTTCAGCCTCATATTTTCTAAAGTATTTAAGATTATAAACTTGTATTTTTTTTTGTTTGTTTTGGGGATGCTGGGGATTGAACCCAGGGCCTTGTGTGTGTGAGGCAAGCACTCTACCAACTGAGCTATATCCCCAGCCCTAAGATTATAAACTTAATACATAATTTGACTTATGGTCTGGGAATACTTATAGTAGGATTTGGAATGAAAGGAGACTAAATCATCTATTACCAGGAAGCTGGCAGTAAGAACCTGAACAGAGAATTTAAAAGTGCCAAAAATCAGTCATTTTACAAAATGTGTTCAGTCTTTTTTTTTTTTTTT